ATATTATATTTTTTGACAATAAAGGCTGAATACTTTTCCTTTTGGGACATCAGGACTAATTATTCTTTATCATTACATAACATGTGCTTTGCTAGAGAATCACAGTTGTACATTAAATATGTAAAGCAAAATTTGCATAGTAACTATTGTCTAACAAGACTGCTGTAGACAAATAAACAAAGCTGCCTTCTGCCAATAGAGCCCTTCCCTGCAATAAAAAAATTCCTAGTCATGATGAAACAATAAAATCAACATAGATAAACATATTTTGTCAGGGTTACTAATTAATACATAACAATAACAGTTCTCATTAAAGCATTTTAATAGCAGCATAGAGGTTAAACATAAAGTGTAAATAAATAAATACAAAGAGGTGTGAGGAAAGTTTATTTTATGACCAATACTTTCAGTTTAGAAATTTAACAGAAAAATGTACACACAAAAAAAACTGGGTCACAAGACAAACTTCTCAAAAATAAATGAGTATTTCACCTATAACAATTACTACATCATAAATAGAAATGATGTGTCATCAAGTCATATGTTGGATTTTCTGTTTGACATTCGAAGATGTTCTTATCAGTATCCAATGTGAAGCATTTTTCATTAACATACATTGTAGCAAAACCAGAATGTTGAATTGTTTCATGTAGAGCCATTAGGTTCCATCCTTTTAATGTATCAGATGAATTTATACATTGTTATTGTGTCCAAGCCAACATTGCAAACCCAAAGTAAAAGTGGAACTGAAATGCATTATGGGATTTATTGTAGTCTAGTCAAATCATAACTTAGTCTATTGCAGCACAACATGTGAGGCTGATCAGTAAACTGACGATTTTTGGTAAAATTACTTAAAATTAAAAGTACTGTCAAATAAGTTTTGCCAGTTATCTAACTTTAACACAATTCACTGGTAAATTATTGATTACTTAAATAATCCTTTCGAATTAATTGATTATTATTACTTTCACAAACCTAGTATCTCATTTACTGGGGAATATTTGTGAGAAAGTTGTACATTAAATTATGCCACTTTGTGGACTTCTCTAAGTACGCTGGATGACCAGCGCCCTCTATGACACATACCCGACTATCGGGTATATTTCTAAGAATCTTCATAGATGTTTCACCAAGTGACTGATCATTTTCTCCATACACAATAAGAGTTGGAACCTGTATCAAAATAAAAAAAGAGAAATGGATTAATCCATGAAGTCAGTTATAATTGGGAAGTATTTATTTTTATAACAGGTTAGTTTTATTCAGTTTTATTTATAACAAATTAGTGCTGGTAGTGTAGAAGGGGGAATATTATATTCACTTGGTTTAATTATAGTGGATTTGATGTACATGTATGTGTATGACAAGCTATTCAGTATACACACATATCAGTACATCACAGGTTATCAAGAATGACAATATGCATGTCTACCAGTGTCCATATAACCATAGTTATTTCTACTCTGATAATCAAAAACATGCTTAAAGTGCCTGTGAAATGGCTGCTATTTTCACGCCTAAAATTATCAATTGATACATAAATATTATTAATTTCTATGTTTCTAGGCATGAATTATTTTTTTTAAGTGAAAAAATGTGTTTTAAACTCAGTCTATGGCAACTTTATTTTTGTGTATTTTAAAACGAGGCTCCTCATTAGCTTCTCATTTGCAGACAGAAATTCTCCTTGTGACGTCAGAAGGGGAAGTCGCATGGCAGCTTGCATTGCCGATACGTGTAAATAAGGCAAATTTCTTGTGCAGTTTTCTCGTCTTTGACTATATTGTCACTTATGTACTTGTTCGTCGAGGAAGAATGGACCATAATGAACACATAGTATCAATTTTTGTTGCATGGGGTTGAGTTAGATGTGAAATATGTCCGTTCTGGTGTAGCTGGTCACCGTGATCGTCACCGACGCACGTTTGTACACTGTCGCTGGACAAAATAGAATTTGACGTCAGAATTATCTTGTTATATAGCAGGTTACTAGATACGTCACTACACTGTTTTATTTCATCGATCGTCTGAGTAAAACTTTCAAAATTAAAATAAAAGAGAACATATTTTGACATTCTAAACATTAGACTATTATAGTGATCACTATAAAATAATTAAAAAAACGACAAATCACAGTTACTAAATAAATGACAGCCGCGTGGAAATAAATCAACATTTTGTTGAAATAGGTGAACGAGTCGGGTCACGGCGAGGGCAAGTGTGTTAAAAGCGGCGTTTAATTGGATAACAAAAATAATCAAGATCACACAAATACAGATAAATTCAGAGTGGATTCGAGTTAGCTTGATCCATGGCGTGATTGTCATAATTATAACATCATATTAAAACTTTATTTGGTGGAAACACATTGACCAAGCCCGGATTCTTATTTCATAAATTATTACGCAGACGAGGACAGTTGAATGAATCTAAGGTTAAGTGATGTCGCACCTTTGGATCGATTAGAAACGTGTGAATGCATACACTATGGCTATACGTTTCACTGCAACTGTCCACAACACAAC